AAAATACAAATATGTATTTAAGTGACACTTTTACCATTTAAAGCACTTCTTTTGATATTCCTATATCCTTTTTCATGGACTTGATGATTTGACGCATGCCAAGGACTCGACAAAAGGCTCATTTACATAAATGTATTGATATGATTTCAAGTTGTTATAGGAAGATAAAATATATTTAAAATATATATTTATTTGTAGAGTAACTTTTATTGTCACGGAATATTGAGACTAAACAAATACATCGGTTTTGATAATCACTGAACAAAAAACTTCCGATTAACCTGACAATTTTATAATCTGCTGTAGTACTAGAGATAGCCACGAATGTAAACACGCGTTTATTAGTCGGATTCGGTTTGTTACATAATTCCCATCCGTCGGCTTTTCGGGAAGAAATCATGGAATAAGCTTTATTTTGTAGGTTTTGATGTTTGATTACAAAAAAACAATGTTGACATTTTTTCTGAGTAGGTCTTCATAGTATGGGACGCCATTATTTGAGGGTAGCCATTTTGCGATAATATTCCAACTTATTTTCACCTTATTTATAATGTTATCGACATATCAACTGTGATTTGGCAATGTATTAATATTGGCAGGGTTCATGACTATACTTCAGATTGTTTTCCATCATTTCAGTATGATATTTCCAAGATGGCGACCATTTTTGGCGGGAAAATCGGACGATGTGCTGATTTCGATTAAGTAGTAGTGCTTGGTGTCAAAATATATGTTTTTCGGGGCCACAGATTCCATTCCTGACATTTACAACCTTGTAAAATGATCACATGTTCATATATACTATTCAAAAAAAGTAGGGGATATTTGATTTTTAAGTGTTATTAAAGTCACCTAATGAAACTGACGAAGAAACAAATGACAAAATGAAATGAAGTTCACATTCATCGATTTATTCCAAATGATCGTTAGACTAAGTTAGGCACAGACTGACTATTATAAGGGTAAAATGATACCCGGGGTCAAACAGCAAAGTTACCACAGCATCACAACCAAGTCAGTAACGGGTAAATCCTCCTCTGTTTGCCAAACAAGCATTGATCCGACGTGGCATACTCCTAATGAGACGTCTAAGGTCATTTTGGTCCAGATTGTCCCATTCCTGTTGCAACGCAGCAGCAAGTTCTTGGACATTGGCAGGACGTTGTTGACGTTGACGTAACCTCTGTCCAAGCATGTCCCAGACATGCTCGATGGGGGAGAGGTCGGGACTCAGTGCTGGCCAAGGTAATGTGGTGATGTTCTGTTGTTGGAGGTAACCTGTAACGATCCTGGCCCTGTGACATCTTGCGTTGTCATCCTGGAAGATGAAACGGCGGCCATGACGTCGTGCGAACGGCACAACATGGACTGCCAAGATGTTGTCCCGGTAGTACTGGCCTGTAACACGCCCTGCAACAACATGTAAAGCCGTTCTTCCAGCAACAATGGTGCCTCCCCACACCATAACAGAACCACCCCCAAATCGATCATGTCTGATGACGTTAACGTCTTGGAAGCGCTCGTTTCGACGACGCCACACCCTCCTACGTCTGTCCAAAAAATCAACAGTGAACCTTGACTCATCTGAAAACATCACATTGCTCCAGCGTCGATTATCCCAGTGTTGACGATCCCTACACCAACGACGTCGGGCGCGAAGGTGACCCCTATGCAGTCGATTCCGAATCGTCTGGCCACTCACTCTCACACCAGTGTCTGTTTGAAGACGAGCGCTGATCTGATTTGCTGTGATGACACGATTTCTCAAGGCCAAGGTACGGATAAATCGATCCTGGGCTTGAGTTGTCGCCCTTGGTCGACCTGAGCGTGGTCTGTCCTGTACAGATTGTGTATCACGGTATCTGGACCATAGCCTGCTTATGACAGACTGAGAAACATTCATCGTCCGCGCCACAACCGCCTGTGTTGTGCCGATCTGTAGCATGCCAAGGGCACGTAACCTTTCATTTTGGGTAAGCCGACGCATATCAAAATTTGTTTTCTGGTCACTAAAACAATTAAACTGATGTTTCCACCCTGGAATTCAATGCCACAATGACTGTAACATTCAAAGTCAGAGTCGTGCAAATCTTGGGTTGGACCCCCATGATGATCCCAAGCATCACCTGCATTCCATGCGGTAGCTATTGGTGCGTTTGGGCGTCACATGTAACTGGAAATGTTTCTTCTGTTAGGTTCTATAGTGACCTTTTTCGTAGTCATTTGCATATTTTAGTATTATGCCCCCAAAATCAAATATCCCCTACTTTTTTTGAATAGTATACTTAGCATATTTCCAAGATGGCGGTCATTTTTTTGGCTGGAAAATAGGACGATATGCTGATATTGATTAAGTAGTCGTCGTTGGTGTCAATATATATGTTTTCAAGGGCACATAATCCATTTCGGTCAGTAACAACTATGTAAAATGATTATTTTGCACATTTACAATATGACGGACATTTTTGGCGGGAAGATGGAACGATGTGCGGATATTGAATAAGTAGTCGTCTATGGCACCAAGATATAGTTTTTGGGGAGCAGATTCCATTTTTGCCGTTTACAACTGAGTAAAATTATCACATGTTCACATATTTAGCATGTTCAAAAATGACTTTCTTGTCGGGCGGGAAAATGGGACGATGTGCTGATTTTGATTACGTAGTCGCGTTTTTGTGTCCATATTTGTTTTTCGGGGGCGCAGATTCGATTTCTGCCATTTATAACTGCGTGAAATGGTGGTATGTTCACACAGTCAGCATATTTTTGTTTGTGGCAGGACGTTTTCTAAACACATTACTGTAAAGGTTTCTGAATCCAATTCTGCTATGTATAAGCTTGTAGCATGTTACTGGAAGCCTGTGCCGAGTTTACCCATTAGGTGTATTATCCAACAATGTAGTAGTTGAACTCCAGCGCAATATCATTCCACATGTTCGTTCTACATTCATCTTGGAAGTCAGTTGATAAGATAACCTGTGCTATTGGGGCTTCTTAGCAAGTATTTCATTTACAGCCACGTCCCCACCACTATCATCCACGTTGCTGCCAGGCTGGAACGAAGCTCCTGGCCATATGCTTGCTACGCTGTTACGACCCTTATGTATATATAGGGAATATACTGAGCCTCGTCCATCAGCTCCAGTCTAGCACCCAAAGAGGAAACCTCAAGAAAACTATGAAATGTTCTTGATTGCTTGGTTATTGGTTGTTTTCTGCTTTGAAAGTGAATGAGGACGGGTGAGCATGGCACAGTCTCTATAGGGGTGAAGAGAGAACGCCTTACGCCTGGTAGGCATGTCACTGGAGTGTGGTCAGAAAGTATCCCGGTCTGACTGGTAACTGCGAGATCATGGTGGGAACACTTCTCGCACAGCCATATCTTGGCCATGAGCGTAGAAAGATCTTGTAGTAAGCGCTTGGTGTGGTCGTTGCAGGCGCAAGATGGGCACATTGCGTAAGCACGACGCTGCCGCTATGCTCTTTTTGTTTGCATGCCAGGAATAGGCTTTATTTTCCCAGGAAAAACGATGATAAATAAATGCTAATAATGTGTTTAGAAAACGTTCCACCATCTTGGAAATATGCTAAATTGGTGAACATACGACCATTTTACGTAGTTGTATAGGACAGAAATCGAATCTGCCTCCCCGAAAACATATATATTGTCACCGAAGACAACTACTTAATCGAAATAAACCCTACGTCCGATTTTCCCGCCACAAATGGCAAAATGGCAGCAATATTGGAAATATATTAAATATGTGAACATGTGATCATTTTACAAGGTTGTAAATGTCAGAGATTGAGTCTGCGCCCCCGTATATATATTGACACCAAACACTACCACTTAATCAAAATCTGCACATCGTCTTATTTTCCCGCCAAAAATGCCCGCCATCTTGATAATATGCTAAGTATATGAACATGTGATCATTTTACAAGGTTGTAAATGTCAGGAATGGAATTTGTGACCCCGAGAACATATATATTGACACCAAACACTACTACTTAATCGAAATCAGCACATCGACCGATTTTCCCGCTAAAAATGGGCGCCATCTTGGAAATATCATCATGAAACGATGGAAAACAATCTGAGATATAGTCATGAATGCCGCCAATATTAATACATTGCCAAATCACAGTTAATATGTCGATAACATTATAAATAAGGTGAAAATAAAAAATAATTTGTAATATTATCGCAAAATGGCTACCCTCAAATAATGGCCTCCCATACTGTGAAGACCTACTGAAAAAAAATGTCAACATTGTTTTTTTTTGTAATCAAACATCAAAACCTACAAAATAAAGCTTATTCCACCATTTCTACCCGAAAAGCCGACGGATTTACATTAACGATCGGACTATATAATTATACATAAATCGAATAAAAGATATAATATATGACTTTGGTATAGACGACACGTTAACAATACGGATTTATCTCCCTCTCAGGAAATTACTAAGTGTGCACAAGAGAGAGCAAAAAAGAGTTTAACGTCAACTCGACACAAACTAGGTCATTTCGGTACTGGCATATGGCCCAATTTTATTTCAATAAGTCGCGTGCGCGTAGGGATCTTTAGCAGTGGGATGACCAGGAGAAAACCCACGAGGTTGGACAGGCGACCCTACTTCTTGTCACGTACAACCGGGGAATCGACACTACGCCTTTGACTCAATGACAGACCTTATGATACAACGCGCACGCCATCTAACCCCTCATCTGGTACAATAGATAGTGTGTCTACGCTGCCCTCATCGCCATCACACTCATAACTTTCACTCTCCACATGCGCAGTACCTATAGGAATGGCCAATATAATTAGAATTATATGAAGAAAATTTGGATATCTGTCCCTTTTCATATTTAAAAATTGCTTCCAAAGTTTTAATAAAAAAAACTGTTCAGTTGAATGATGTTTTTTAACATCCCTCTTTAAGGTTACCCATTCTTTAAGAATTTTAGAAGTGTCATATTTGTTCGCTATCAGCACAGTTTCAAAATGTAAAGTTAATGTTTTTACTTCTAAATTACCATATGATATTAACTCTGTTTCTGTAACTGGCCAGTTTGTTATATCGATAAAGTCTATACTTGAAATACACTCATCTTCTAAAAAACTAGAAAATCGCATATTAATTTGTTCAAAAACATTCTAAATGGTTGTTTTACATGTTTCACTGAAAGCAGTTATCAATATTTTCATACACATAAACAGAGTCCGAAGCACTATTAATAGTTATACATTTAGACTTAAAATCTTCAACTGACTTGCATGATGCAGGATCTGATTTCAAAATAGTTAGCATACCAATTATACTCTGTATATTAACTCTAATTGAAGAAATTGGTATATTAGTATCTTGAAAGTTCTTTGAAAAATCACAAAGATATTCCAACAAGGTTTTGTAAAAGTGACAGTACAAAAGAATTTTGTGTGCTTTAAGTTTGTTGAGATATCCCTTACATTTATAACTGTCCTCCTTCCGAATATCTCGTCGCTCACCCGATCCAAGTTCCTGCAGATGACTAACAATAGCAGTATAATCATGCAGTAGAACCCTCACGGCATTTAACCTATGTTCAACCTATGTTTTTTCACACTTATCATTAAAACGTCACCTATTGACTGGAGTTCACGCCAACGCTTAGGAGAGTTATGGTAGAAGTAGTAAATGGCTAATAACATCTCGTCTATTTGAAAATATAAATTGTGTGTCAGTTGTAATAAATGTATTTTAATATAATTTACAAAATAAAATCACTAAATCAGGCAGAATCATAGTTACTTGTAAGAATTAATATATTTAAAACATTTGGCTTTTTATTCAAGGGCTAGGGGCCTAAAAGGGCACAACTGACAGGGGCAGCAATATAATTTATAGAAAATAGTTTTGCAGTCTTCTGGGTATTGTCTATTACTGCAAGCTCGATATTTTTGGATGGTCTCCCCCTTTAACAGAATTACACTAACCTCAATAATACTGTTATATATAGATTCTGCATCTCCATATTCCAAGTGAAGTGAACAACCCTACAATATTACAAAATAATAACAGGTATAAGATTATCCATCGATTTATCAAACTTATTATCACCTGCTTGCTTGAAAATAAAGATCTAGGAAGGCTGTTTATATTTAGAGTAAGATTTAGACATGCATTATGCAAGAGCTATTGCAGGTCTTTCTTTAGGCCTGAAATGTTATCTAAATTAGTAATTAACCTATCCAGACCATAATCAACTCTAGATGGCATCGCTAGCCTGTGATCTTTAGTGGATTATGGGCCGATTTACTGCTTAACTTTCCTTCATGATTTAACGATTAAATGGATAATCGAGACTATGATGTTTATCGTACTGACTTTAGTAATGATGATCGAGGCTAGGCGGAAATTTCAATCCCTTAGTTCTTGGTTCATAGTGGATCAATTTGAATGAAATTTTCAGCAAGTTACCTTTACATTATCCAGTGTTTAACTATTATAGTGAGAACTGCCAACTCGTTATCGATTCTCCCATAAAGTATCTTTAATAAAACCAGCTAATTAACAATAAACATGTTGTTAGTTAATTGCAATACAAAATGTGATAGAAATCAATATTCTTATTTTATTAGTTACTTTGCTCTTACCTTGCAAGTTTCGTAACTGTTTCACCAGTATTTGGAGATACATATCTAAACATGTCAAATTTTGCACAAGGGAGACATTCCTCACAACACCGGCCATGGTGAATTGACGAAATCTCGCGTTGATAAAGGAGATGATGGTTTATTTTTAGCGACACTGATACGCACCGCGTGCTAGGGTTAGGGTTGGGTTTGGTCCAACAGACTCGGCATGCTTTAGAGCATTTATTTTTTTTTGATCATGCGTGTTCCATATATATATAAGCTGTTGTGTCAACAATCCTTGATTGACCTGGATGTCTTTTGCGTAATGCCTCTTCCGGAAATGAAGAACAAACTGTACAATATATTTTTTGGACAATTCCACTATCTTCTTCTAAAATGTCAATATAGTCCAAATTCCATCTTTTTACTGTACTGACACGAATTAGGCCTAATTTCGTGTCTGATACCGACGGTTGGCTAGAAGTAGAAGTTGATTCATTCTCGTCGCCAGGATCATTACTTGTTGAATCGTCGTCGTCGTGCTATTTTTTGTTTGAGCCGACATTGAAGAAAAATACATAAAAATGCTACTCTGACTGCCATCATTTTCACTTGGAACCCGAACAAACTTCGACAAAGAAATGGCACTTCACAGTTCAGTGAATTCAATCAAGGAAAGGGCATGCTCTATCTCCCGCAGAAATATGTGGGTATTTTAACATGTAGTTGTTGGTATTCAGACAATAAATTCCAGGGCCACATTAATAGGAATGGTTATCTTGCTATGGGATTGGTGTAGAACGTTTTGAACCAGAATGGTTTTTAATAAGGCCCCTATTAGAGCATATCAACGCGCGCCTTGGTCTTAAAGCTGAAAATCTGAATGATCGAAATAAATGGAAGGGCGCAGAATTTTGACAGAACCAGTGTGGTACAGGGTAATAAATTGTTTTCATCCCTCTAAAAGATCCATAATATACATTACGGATTCCCTACAGCCCCATCATCTCAACATCTCAAAACGGCCAACCAAGGCATCCTATATTCACAATAATTTAGAGATGGAAAATGCTAGAAAATAATGGTTACTAATCTATGCGGTGATTATCATTTGTAACATTTCCCCACAATATTTGGGTTAGGGTTAAGGTTATTTAAGTTGTTCAACTGACCGTTGAGTTTGTCACGTCTAAAACCTGGGTCCACATAAATAACAATTGACCATGCATAGTATCACGATACTTAAGGGTTAATGCCCATAGGCGTACGGGATCAATGACTGTTAAGGGGGCAGAATCCGAATTGCCCGAAAAAATTTCGGGTTACAGACGTCTACGCCGATCCTCTGCGAGAGATAGGGGGGAACTTACTGTGTAGCACCCTTCCCCCAAAAAATATTGACGGCCGCAAACGCGTTTTTCTGCTATACCAGCCCGTGAATACAACAACTTCAAAGTGGCCTAATTTGGGTGGCTGACTCGAATTCCAATCATCAATCGTTTACAGTCCACGGAGACGAGACCGTCGGGAGAAAATTTTGAAAATTTAACAGCCGCAAACGATTGTTCCTGCTATACCAACCCGTGGATACGGCAGTTTTAATGTGGTTGAATATAGCCTACCTAAGCTGGCGGACCTGAATCCCAAACAACCAATCAATCGTCGCGGGGTATCAGGGCCTCGTCCTCCCGGAGAAAACTTAACCGTTACAAACGCATTTTTCTGCCCGTGAGTTGTCCAATGGTTTTGTAACTGAAATCTCACGCTATCTTGACCATACAATCAGACTGTTGCAGCTGCATTCAGAAATAATAATCGATGCCCGATAAATGTCGCACAAAGTAGAGTGGCTCCAGACAAAATGTTTTTATCCATAGTCAATTCAGGACAAATTCGTGGTATTCAATTAAAAGAAAAGTAAAATTAGTGTTTTAGTAGGTCTCTGGCACTTTATTTTGCTAACAAGATGAAATAATAATGTTTGTACCTCTCTGCCCGAAAGACAGTCCCGCCCCCTGGCTCGTACGCCTATTGGACCGGAGTCTCAGCGCGGGGGGAGGGGGGGTCCATCATATGGGCACAACTTTTCTAGAGTAAAATTTTGCGTAGAATAAGATGCCGAGTGGTAATCAGTCCGCCGTTTGGGGCGTTTTCGAGATATTCGGGGTCAAAGGTGTTCATTTGCACTGAAAGTGATCGAAAGTAATCACACTTTCAATAAAAATGTAAACTTGCTAAATTCACCTTTAGTCTTAGTGACCCTGGAGGTCAAAAGGTGAAATTTACCGTTTTTGCACTAGGAAGATTTAAAGCAATAAAATGTCAACGTAAAATATAAAAATTAAAGCAAAACCTGTTATAATTAATAATAGGAACATTTAAAATTTATCTTTAGGTGGTCTTAGCACCGAACTTTGGAACGTCGAAAATGATCTTGCATAGCAGAGCGAACACACTTTGAAACCTGTTTTAAAAATACGTAAAAACTGTCAAATCGAAATCTCTCCGATTTATTTTCACAACGATTGTTATACATAATGATACTAGTTATCTGAAAAACAACAGAATAGTTTCAGTGTAGTCACATTTAAGTCAAATGGGATTCCACGATGTAGTCTATTTAAGTCCATATTAAAACACAGCGTGAGGTCAAGGATTTGAGAGATATAATAGGATATTACTACATATTCGGTTTAAGGCCGTGATGGCTCAAGGAATGTGTAACAGGATAGTGCTACATGTCTGATTTGGAGCCTTTAACCAGGATTGTCCCAATATATCTTCTATATTACAAAGTGCATGTGTGATAACATTAAAAACCACAAACAAATTGCATATAATTTTAATCAGATTGAATAACATTTAAAAGAATAATAATGATCCCTAAACTTTAAAACAAGCATATAATCAAATAGTTATTTAATTGCTTAATTTCCCCCCAATATCTCTGTAACGAATGATAGTGGGGGTCGATCATTATAATATGCCACTGTTGTCTCATGTTTTTATCTGAGCTGATAAACCATCACCAAGAAACAATGCTGTCATTAGAAAGACAACAATCAAGAACACCCAGAAGCAAATTCTGTCCAATCTAAGGCAGATATCACTTCCGGTAAGACTATCGGCCATGGTCACCAGCTTTTCGTCGTTTTCTTTGATAGGATAAACGTTGTTGTCTGAATCAACCCGTACGCAGAGGATTTTCGTAAGCCAGCGAGGAATAGGACGGTTTCTTGAATCCCTGTGATACATACTTAAATTAAAGCAGGTCACGAGGACGTAGATGGCGCTGAGGACCAGTTGAGCAGATATATAGATAGAAAGACCTGATATAGAATCGGACGTCTGGGGCATAAGACCGGATATAAAACTGAGGAAAACAGCTTGCGAAAGAAGAACCGTGACAGAAAAGGAGAGTTTCTCGCCAGATTCAGTTGGTAGAAGGAACACGAATACATTGAGGAATGCCAGAAGGATAACTGGTAACAACACTGTTAACACCAAGCTAAGGGATTTCCTTTGTAAGACCAATATTACACGAACAGTTTCATGGGGACTGTTCTGTTGTTTTTCAGTTCGTCTCTCTTTAAATAAAAAAGAACAAAATATCTTCTTTAAAAAAAAAAATACAACATATATATATATATATATTCGTACGTTAATTAATATAGTATAGGGGATATATCGAGTGGCCCGGAAAAACAAGTACACTATTTAAAGAGTGATGTACAATATTGCAAGTCTATCGTTCAAATAGTGTTATCATAGTACGGGTTTTAAAAAAAGAATATCAAATTATATTTTGACGAAGTAAGAAGTCATATCACACTCACTTCAGTTTTTTTTGTCAAGCCATTGATCATAAATATACCAGGATCGTCTTCTGTGACATAAGTAAGGCTTTTGACAGAGTCTGGCATGCCGGACTCTGTTACAAGCTGGATGCTGCTGGGGTCCGAAGAGGGTTATTATTATGGTTCAAGAATTATTTAGATAATCGACAACAATGCGTCGTAATACATGGAACCTCCTCGAACGCCAGGGAAATCCCCGCTGGTGTCCACAGGGCAGTGTATTGGGACCACTATTATTTTTATTATATATCAACGACACTGTGGATGATGTACAATCAAACATTAGACTATTTGCAGATGACACCTCCCTGTATTTAAAAATAGATGATCCAGAGGCATGCGCAGTTACCCTAAACAAATATCTACAAAAAATCAATGCATGGGCGGAAACGTGGCTAGTGACATTTACCCCCTAACGACAGAAACCCTAACCCTCTCGACTAAACGCAATATTGTGAAACCACCCCTTTTAATGAAATCAATTAGAATAAAGGAAGTAACTGGACTTACTTTTCAAATCAATTGTAAATGGAACAATCACATTGATAGTATAATTAGTAAAGTATCATAATTAGTAAATCGACACAAATTAAAATTACTATACAAAATTATAAATAACCTGACCCCTCCCTATCTTAAGAATCTCCTAAATCTGGAACCAATAAATACATATTCATTTCGAAATGAAGATAAAATTAAAGAAATTCGATGTACTGAAATATTTTCTAAATATTTATTCCATCCAGTATAAGAGAGTGGAATAAACTCAGCACCCCTGCAAGAAACTCGAGAACTCTTAAAATATTCTCCGACCATCTCTCCAAAACAGGTATAAAAATTCCATCTTTTTACTACAACGGTTAGCGGAAACTCCAGATAATCCATGGTAAACGTAGACTCCGATGTTTCTGACCAACAGGGCCACAAATACCTCAGACACGTTGCTGACAGCCCCGCATGCCTCTGTAGTCACATTTTTGAAGATCTTTATCACTATCTCTTGCAATGTCCCTTACATTCAAATGCACGAAAGGATACCATAGAAAAATTACAATACGATCATAAAAACATTAACTATCTCTTGTTCGGGTCCACAACCCACTGTACCGATGTAAACAACAATACTTTTAATCAAGTCCACAAGTTTATTGACGTGTCAAACAGATTTTAATCTTGCTCATTAACAGTTTTAATTTACAATTTTAATTTTAAATTTACGTGATGATGTAACCTATAATATATATTGTACATTGCCATCCGTCTCATCATATATGTATTTACATATATTCATGTATGTGCTTGCCTTTTTAACTGTGTATGGGAGATCACATGGCTAAGTGGGTAAGACGCTGGCTCGCTAGCCTGAAGGTCGGGTGTTCGATCCCTGCATTGGCCGAGAAAGATCATCTAGATTTTCCGGCGTGGTCCCCCCTTGTCAGTGATGCAGGATGGAGGGCCTGACAAGGACAGCTGTCTAGTCGTTCGGATGGGGCGAAAAACCGAGGTCCCGTGTACACATTGGCGTGCACGTAAAAGATCCCTTGACAGTTGGAATTCGATATAAGAGTAGGCCGTAGTGCCGCTGTCCGGGCAAAATATCCCTCATAGCACACTGTATGGCGTATGCCCGTCTTCATTAGCCCAGTTCGGAGCAGAACAGTAGGGCCTTAAACCCTATTTCATTTCATTTAACTGTGTATATACACCCATTTTGCTTTTTTGTTTTAATATTATGTATGTATATTATCTAGGGAGAGGGTTTTAGATAGGTTAAGACTGTTCCCCAATCCCATTCAGACATCCTGAATAAAATATTGTTTATAAAAATAAAAAAACTTTAGTTTACATAAGTAAATTGGTCAATAATATGTCGCCCGTCTTGCTCGTAGACGGCATGTAAACGCAATTTCCACCTAGAAATCGAATTGCTTTTCTGTCTTGTTTGGTTCGAATTGTATCCGACAGTTCATTTTCTGTAATTGGGTTCAATCAATTGGGGTGTTTATTTTTTAACAGCTTTGGAGAAATTAAACGCTTGTAAATTGGACACCCGTTATCAATATTAAATAGTCTGTTTCAAAATGGACACAAATATAAATTAGATGATTTTTGGTGATTTTAAACAATTTTTACGAATTTTTAAACAAAAATTTGATATTGAATAAATGTGAAAGGAATTAGTGCTAATTATACAAAGTTAAATGATACCCGTGTTTGTATGCGTCGCTAGTTCGAGAAGCCAAAATCTCCCTACAGCCAACTTGTTACGCATACCCTCTTCTCTACTACACATTTTATTAGCCTTGTGTTCGTCTATTATTGTCCCTGATTATATTTGTAATTCTCTTCTTAGGACTTCATTTACGTTTTGAGTTTACAGCTTACAGCTTACTATCTCAGTAATTAAGACGTTTATCTACTAGGAACAACAATGCAACAGCTTCTTTCTGCATTTTTATGTCAAGCACTGGATACATAGGTTACAAGCATAGGTTACATTACCATACTTAAAATTAACATGTCTATCGCTCTACCCCTAACTCGCATCCCGTGTACACATTGGCGTAGGCCGTAGGGCCGCTGCCCGGGCAAAATTTTCCTCATAACACACTGTATGGCGTATGCCCGTCTTCATTAGCCCAGATTAGGAGCAGGGCAGTTGGACGTTAAATCCCATTTCATTTCATTTCAAGATGGTCCTCATCTCCAGAGAATCTACATGATCCTGCTCTCTATGAATCTAGCGACTGTCGAAAGTCTATAGGTATGGTGGCTGATTGATATCATGTCGTGATGTCGCCATTCATAAGGCGACAACCCGACATCACGACATTTTAATCCGACATCACGAAATTTTAACCCGACACCACGACATTAAAAACATAATGTCGCATAAAAATGTCGTATTGTCGGATTAAAATGTCGTGATGTTGGGTTGTTGTGGTGTCGGGTTATGAAAATGTATTGTCGGGTTAAAATGTCAAGATGTCGGGTTGTCGTGTTTAGATGTCGTGATGTCGGGTTACCGGCCAGATTCCTCTCAACACTATGATTATGTACACTGATCTTGGTGCAGATTGCAGAATCCCTTCACACAGGCATCTGAGAGAGCACGTCACACAGTTGGGACACACAGGAGACTCGTCAGTGCCAATACAGTGCGCCGACGTCTCACCAGAGAGAACATCCATTGCCGTCGGGTTAAGATGTCGTGATACCGGCCAGATTCCTCTAAAGACTATGATTATGTACACTGATCCTGGTGTTGGTCAAGAAAGTGCAGAATGCCTTCACACAGGCATCTGAGAGAGCACATAACACAATGTGAACACACGGAAGACCCATCAGTACCGATCAGTACCAGAGAGAACATTCATTGCCGTAGACCTTACCGTCCACCAATTCTCGCCCATCGACGTGAACGTCTACAGTTTGCCCAACAACACCAGAACTGGTGACACAGGCAATGAAGAACTGTTCTTATCAACTGCAGATGGCAGGACCATGCAGAATATGGTGTCGACGTGGCCAGCGTTATTCTGACCAATGTGTCATGGAACGAGACTCATGGGGAGGTCCAAGAATAATTGTTTGGGGTGGAATCGGCCTGAACCAGAGAGTGGGTCCTGTGATGTTCCAAAATCTTGGTCAAGGAAGAGGAAGCGGCATCACAGCAGTGCTCTACATCGATCAGACTCTCAGACCACCACGACATACCACGTTCCGCACGTCATCGAAACAACGTTTTAAAGCATAAGAACGTCCGTGCCCAAACCGCCAGAGTTACTCGGGACTTTCTACAGAAGAACGGTGTCAACGTTATGCACTGGTCAGCCCTTAGTCCGGAATTAAACCCGATTGAACATCTTTGGAATGAAATTTAGACGAGACTTAATAACGTCGTACCGAGACCAAACACAGCCGATGGATTGTGCCAGGCTTTTCTGAGAGTGTTGTTCCAGCTGCCAGTGGCCTTTATCAATCGTCTTGTCCACTCGATGCACATTAAAGTCCCTCTCTGATTTTAAAATCGTACTGACAATAAGTAGTCAAAGCCATAGTAAATATAATGCTATAATTAATTTAAGAGCAATTTTACTACAAGTTTTATCAAAATCGGATAAAAATTGTAATCTTTATATTGTCCACAAGCTAAAAACGTGCAGTTTTGTACAATCAGGGGTCATAATCCATGAAGTTCAGATACATGCCACATTTCAAGTTTCGTCAAAATCCGACCAAAATTGTACATGTAGAGTGCCCACAAACAAATTGTGGACGAACGGGGGCGACGATAAAAATATTTCCCATTCACAGCCTTCAGGATCTGGAACTCGGGGAAAAGTTTATCGAATGGCGCAGGAAGCAATTTACGGAACATGAACAGAAGAATACATATCAAGCAAAATGGGTAGAAATGAGCTTAGAAGAGATACACAATTCGATTTGTCGGTGGAAAAGACGCTTAGGGTACGACAAGGGGCATATTAACCATTTATTTGTGTAAACTCTTAATGTAACTTCTCACTCCGGCTAAACATCGTTTGACATTCTTTATTGAAAATTGTAGTATGTTACACTATTTGTCCAACATCCATATCGTACCACATGTGCAACGTTAATGATAGGTCCAGTCCTTCTTGAATTAGTCCACTCTATTCTAATTTATAATGTACTCGTATTTTTCAGGGTCGCCCGATACATGTAGAATTATTTTGAAACGTAATATAATAACTCGTAACAAATTGTCATGTCTTAATAACTGAGAAGTGTGGTTTGGCCATTGTGTTAATGATACATTGTGGTTGGGTCTTAAAATCTAATAGCAGATATTTAAATCGCCAAATTATTTGTTATTATATACATGTTAATGTAAACATTCCGACATTAGAGACTGAATTGTTCACTTACCAATGATTGCCCACTCTGAATTTGCATACCCAGCTTCAGCTTCTTTCATTTCCGTGGATTCTCGATAATTCAGAGAAGTCTCGTCCCTTTTACCCGCCCAGTTAAAGAACACCATAGAACATGTCTGCATATCGAATGGGAACTTACTTACATCAATTTTACACAGAAAACTGACTTTTTGACCCGGATTCCATTCTGTCTCGCCGTCATGACGCGACTGTAATAGGACAAAATCCAAACCAACAGGAGTCAATTCATCATAACCATTACTGATAGCTAGATCGGGTTTCCACATATTTGTTTCTGGTGGGTAAACACTGGTGAGGTTACCATAATCATTGGGGTTCCAAACCAGTAATTCGTTCTTCCAGAATACCTGCAGATGAACAGTCAGGAAAAAAATATTGCAGGTATTAGTACAATGTACACCAATAGGTTAGGTTCTCTCCCATTACCTACACAGACAGTTGTATTGACCAGACGGGGTGCCTGCTTAAATAAAACCCCTGTGTGCCGCGAGATCTTCCTAAGTGTGCCGCGAAAGTTTGCACGGCACACTAAGAAAATGCGAAAAACCATGTTATCCTAATTGAGCATTCCCTCGAGTTCATGACTGTGTTTTTTTTATATTTAGTTTGAGTCATTCTATGTGTCCATGACTAGTCTGTATCTACGGTTGTATGCCGTCTGATTTATCATTTTATTTTGCAAAATTCAAATTGTTTTCATATATATTTAGCCAGGTGTGCCGCTATTTTTTTATGTGTCCCAAAGTGTGCCGTTGGTAAAACAAAGGTTGAGAACCACTGACTTAGAGACTTAACCGCTTTAAATAGGTTAATGTACAAATGTCACCATGTTATACAATTCAAAAAAAGTAGGGGATATTTGATTTTTAAGTGTTATTAAAGTCACCTAATGAAACTGACGAAGAAACAAATGACAAAATGAAATGAAGTTCACATTCATCGATTTATTCCAAATGATCGTTAGACTAAGTAAGGCACAGACTGACCATTATAAGGGTAAAATGATACCTGGGGTCAAACAGCAAAGTTACCACAGCATCACAACCAAGTCAGTAACGGGTAAATCCTCCTCTGTTTGCCAAACAAGCATTGATCCGACGTGGCATACTCCTAATGAGACGTCTAAGGTCATTTTGGTCCAGATTGTCCCATTCCTGTTGCAACGCAGGAGCAAGTTCTTGGACATTGGCAGGACGTTGTTGACGTTGACGTAACCTCTGTCCAAGCATGTCCCAGACATGCTCGATGGGGGAGAGGTCGGGACTCAGTGGTGATGTTCTGTTGTTGGAGGTAACCTGTAACGATCCTGGCCCTGTGACATCTTGCGTTGTCATCCTGGAAGATGAAACGGCGGCCATGACGTCGTGCGAACGGCACAACATGGACTGCCAAGATGTTGTCCCGGTAGTACTGGCCTGTAACACGCCCTGCAACAACATGTAAAGCCGTTCTTCCAGCAACAGTGATGCCTCCCCACACCATAACAGAACCACCCCCAAATCGATCATGTCTGATGACGTTAACGTCTTGGAAGCGCTCGTTTCGACGACGCCACACCCTCCTACGTCTGTCCAAAAAATCAACAGTGAACCTTGACTCATCTGAAAACATCACATTGCTCCAGCGTCGATTATCCCAGTGTTGACGATCCCTACACCAACGACGTCTTGCCTGAATGTGATGATCTCTCAAACAAGGGATCACGCGAGGACGTCGGGCGCGAAGGTGACCCCTATGCAGTCGATTCCGAATCGTCTGGCCACTCACTCTCACACCAGTGTCTGTTTGAAGACGAGCGCTGATCTGATTTGCTGTGATGACACGATTTCTCAAGGCCAAGGTACGGATAAATCGATCCTGGGCTTGAGTTGTCGCCCTTGGTCGACCTGAGCGTGGTCTGTCCTGTACAGATTGTGTATCACGGTATCTGGACCATAGCCTGCTTATGACAGACTGAGAAACATTCATCGTCCGCGCCACAACCGCCTGTGTTGTGCCGATCTGTAGCATGCCAAGGGCACGTAACCTTTCATTTTGGGTAAGCCGACGCATATCAAAATTTGTTTTCTGGTCACTAAAACAATTAAACTGATGTTTCCACCCTGGAATTCAATGCCACAATGACTGTAACATTCAAAGTCAGAGTCGTGCAAATCTTGGGTTGGACCCCCATGATGATCCCAAGCATCACCTGCATTCCATGCGGTAGCTATTGGTGCGTTTGGGCGTCACATGTAACTGGAAATGTTTCTTCTGTTAGGTTCTATAGTGACTTTTTTCGTAGTCATTTGCATATTTTAGTATTATGCCCCCAAAATCAAATATCCCCTACTTTTTTTGAATAGTATACATAGAGATATCCAGTACCAATTTGGGATAGTTGGGTACTTTATAAGTTTTACAGCCCTTCATTAACGGCAAATATTTATTTAAGTTTTTAATATTTTGGTTTTCAATATCTTTGGAAGCAATTAATTATATTCTAATAATGTTATATTAACACTCACAATGTAAGGATACCAAAAGACATAATCTTAAAAGGAGCCAGAACTACATGGTATTAGTACAAAATTGGGAAATTATTGGAAAATTTAGTACAGATAATGATGAATCTGTCATGTACATGTATTATGAAATATTTCAGAAATAAATTATGTTCGTTATTTCCAGGACTTTTCACAAATATGACAATTTGGACAATAGATTTTTAGTTACGCCTCGGCTATAGCGTTGTAAACAGATACACTATAAATCGGATGATTGCCACGATCAAACTTGTTGTTTATATGTGGTGTAAATTATTTCCATTAATTATACTTATAGTCTTTTAATTGTACATTTTGGCGCTGCGTCTCCCCTCGATACTCCACCACAGTTCTACAGTTCTACGAGCTGGCTGTGTATTTTGCCCAATCATGTGGTGACGTTTTAGGACACCATTCGTTAGCAAAATTTAACATATTCGCCTACTTTAGCAAATCAGTAGGTTTTTGTTTCTAATCTAAGTCGAAATGTGCTAATCAAGTACATAATTATGTTTCCAACATCAAATTTCGACTTTTAAAAAATAACGACCATTGAAAGGTTACCTGCATCCATATAGTGGCTTCCACAGACTGCTGTACTTCGTTCACATCTAATAGGGAGACAATATGAAGTGTCATTTCTACATCAACTATATCTGACTGATTCATCACTGGTCTGATTTTACTGCTACCATTCATTACTTTCTCTTGAAATAACCGTGCAACATCTTCAGCTGTTGCTGCTTCTGACGAGTAAATGCTGGTCGACAATAGTATTAGCACGACTACCAACACCAGCCGAACACTAGAAGTCGTCATTTCTTATCTTTTCTTAAATAACACTAATCCCAAAGATAGAATGCAACCTTCATAGTGGCAATGTATGACAAAATGCGTTGTTATCATTCATTACTAGATGAGGTATTCTCATTTAAATAAACAACTACTCACTGTGTCCTTTTATATGGGAGTAATAATTGTTTTTACTGGTTAATCAATAATATTGACGTTCCCCCATGCGGCCAAACATTCATGAATAGTTAACAATTAATCGTCATTATCATTTCAAATGTGGTCTTCTATTTGCAAGTGCTCTAAAATAATAACTCATCTTTTACATAGTAGGCCGCTAATTGACATCAATTACACCATGGTTACAAGTTATAATTCATTGTCTTATGCAATATTGCTCCCGCTCTCCACGTCAAAAATATCTGATTCTTTTCCCCAGCCTTTTGTTCGATATTAAGACGGGTAAATACCTATTTCAACTTTCAATGATTCAGCGAAATTTTCAAAATGACCGCCTAACTAACAGATAATCAACTCGTAAAAAGGCCTGGGTGTATTTTTAGAAATCAAACATATGGCAGGGGCGTAATCGGTCGAAGACTAAAAAATGTCTTAATCTTTAAATGACAAAACCGGGGTTTTACCTTTCTTAGTCTCAACTGGCTGTTGTCAGGGAAAGAATCAGACATTTTTGACTTAATCAGCCGATGCTGCTATTACGGAAGCCGTTGCAAACAAAACGGGTTAATTTAGCAAGTGTAATTCCAAGCTAAATAATCTAATTTTGGGACTCGATCTGCTCGTCGTAACAGCCCGGGAACATTATGCAGCAATTGTCACTTAATTTGACCCCCCCCCCCCCATGGCTCCAGCAGCTGACTCCGCTACTGATCAGAAAAACACTCAATGATAATGTGTATCCTGATATTTCATATAAACACTATATTTACCCATATATATTACCACAAATGTACTTGATATTATTCGAATAAACATTTGACCATTCTCCCCAGGGTCGATTATAATAAAGAAATACAAAAACTGATGTTTATAAAACAATCCACAGTAATGAGTTAAGCAATCTATCACAATGTTTAGCACGTAAGTATTGAATTTGTGTTAAATGCCCTATGAGCAATATTACTTTTGTCGTTTTGGGGAGTCTATATTTGCATATTCTACACAAATATTCAAAATTTAAATAATTAAGTAAGACCTTGCTTTTTCCTGTAGTTAGAATTTTGAGAAGTTCTTTGAAAAGCGATAAAAAAAAACCTGGAAATACATTTAAACTGGGGGCGTTAATGTAGTCGATTTGGGGTGTATTTCAAAGTGAAGCACAATATACCACATAGGTGATGGTTGATCACTCGGTATACTTTTACCGTTCTATTTATTGCAGGTTTTTTTTTACCTTACCAGAAATACAAAATATGCAATTCTTGGTGATTTTGGGTTCCAATATCATTTACAGCAGGACAGTCGAAAGCCGGGTTGACCTATGACGTGTTCTAATCGTCTTGGCTGTACTGTTTACCACCCATCCCCGTAGTCGCTCTGAGTTTGTTCGAGGATCTCTTTGAGCTCGGATTATCCCTTGACAACAACTCAATTAGTACTCTTTTTGTTTTAGTAGAATGTATATCATCAAAGATCCAATACAGTGGTTCTCAGGCAGTGTGCCGCGGCACACATGTGTGCCGCGAGATCTTCCTAAGTGTGCCGCGAAAGTTTGCACGGCACACTAAGAAAATGCGAAAAACCATGTTATCCTAATTGAGCATTCCCTAGAGTTCATGGCTGTGTTTTTTTGTATTTAGTTTAAGTCATTCTATGTGTCTATGACTAGTCTGTATCAACGGTTGTATGCCGTCTGACTTATCATCAATTTATTTTGCAAAATTCAAATTGTTTTCATATATATTTAGCCAGGTGTGCCGGTATTTTTTGTATGTGTCCCAAAGTTTGCCGTTGGCACAAAAAGGGTGAGAACCACTGATAGAATAGAACATTGGTCGTATTTTCCATTTTTTCTACAAAGTTGATAAAAATAGCGTTGATTGCTGCATTCGAGATTATTTGAATTCTCAGATTTTTGCTAAAAATAATCTTGATAACTCAGGCACGTCAATCAGCCGGTGAACGGTTTAGCGAGACTAATTTCAAATTCCAATGGCATTGACAAAATTCGAAACAAATGTAGCAGCCCCATAAATGAAATGGGGTTTAACGTCCTACTGTTCTGCATCGACTGTATACTAATGAAGTCTGAGTCCCGTTAAGCGAAATCAATCTATGTAACGAGAAACTAGTATTGGGAACATTTTAGATGATTAATGAGGGGGATTAAGGTAGGGTAGATTGTAGAAATATTGTCGTTGCGACATTGTTTTCAAATTTATAGACAAAGACAAGAGAAAAATGATGGCATCATATTGTATTAATTAATATCTTTGGCACATTATTAGATTCACATATATGTACTTAGATCAAGTTTGCGAATGAGTGGCACATTGTTACATAAAAAAAGAGTTATAATTTGGTAAACATTAGCTGGTTCTGTGGGAATAAGAATATCATGTATTACACGCGATAGGAAAATTACGATTGCATCATTTGGCTTGTTTAACCAATCTCTATACTTATTTACATCATATTTGACCAATTAGATAATTGAAGGTCCAAAACCCAAAGCTACAAAACTATCATACTTGTGAGAATTCGTCAGACAGCAGACATATTCTGGAAGGAAAAATATGTAACAATTTCTATCATCAGAGTCTGACTGGGTGAGGTTTGAGGGAATGACTTTATTCTATTATGCATTGTATCATATGTAAGCAACTATGATATATAAAATGTAAAAACGAACTGTTGCATTGTTATTCCTGGTAAGACAAACGTCTTAACTAAGAAAACAGTAAGAAGAAAATACACAATGTGAAGGGGAAGCAAAGACGATCACAAGGCTACTAAGATATGTAGTAAGAAAAGATGCATGGATCGTACGTAGGATGTGGCGACCGGATTTGACAGCCCGCTCACCACGTCTGACAGAAGACCCATGGTGCTACAAGATGTATATAGGCCTATAAAGATTTCAACGAGTGCCATCCGCTTCAAGCAACTGCAACATTAATTTGAACAACCAACAGCTGAAAGGCTACCATTTCCCCTAAATTCCATTTCTTTTACTTTGCAAAGAAGAAATCGACCCAAAGAACTCTCATTCCGATAGGCCTAACTGTAACCATCTTCTCGTTACAAATCGCCCTTCCATTCTTTCTGCTGGTTTATGGGAGAAATGACCGGGCTCCTGATCTTCTCTGGTGAAAATTGCATGTAAGCTTAGCCATGAAAACTTGGATATCCATGATAGATAGTCATTATCCTCCAAATGCTACCCATGACGAGATAAGCACGGAACTTAACATCCATTGTTCACTCGCTGAGAATAAATGAGGAAAACGTTGGAGTAAGACATTGCTCACAAAATATATCCTGAATATAAGAAGATAAATGTCTTTTATTAGATACACGAGTCTATAATTGATCATGCGTATGCATATTGCAAATCTGAGTTGGCTTGAGTAGACCGAATATTAATTTTTTTCTTCAAATTTTCAAATCGTAATTTTTTTAATTTAATGAAACATTTTAATGCCAACATGTTTTTTCTACGAATAAGCTTAAAGGGGCATTAGGTAAGATTTGATAAAGAATAATCAAATTGCTTAATTCTGAACCGAGATATTAGCGATTCGGTTTTCGACTAACCTCGATCGTTGTTACTACCGTTTGTACAATAATAAACAAAACCTAATCAAATCAATTAAATATCGCAGGCTAATGATGGCATCGAGAGTTGATTATGATCTTTAAAGTTAATTAATGTCTAAATAATAATTTAGATAACATTTAAGGCATATAAAAAGAAATGCAATATGCAGAATTACCTTTTGCATAATGTATGTTTATATAGTTTCCTTCTGTTGGCATTATTATATTTGCTGAACGGTGAAATAATGTAAATGTCAAGTGTTTGCAAGGCGTAAGGGAACTGCAAAAACCTTTTTTCATACTGTTGATCGGAGCTGGTTTCACTATTGTTAATGTGCATATTCATGATTAAGTGGATTATTTTAGTGTTAAATAAACACAAAACAATCAATGTGATTGATTTAATATTTACAAAACATTTATATTTGTTTTTGCTCGTGATGGAAACTAATGTTTCAGATAAGATATAATGGGCATAGTTTAAATACAGAGATCTGCCTCAGTTGACGAAGATCTGCGGCAAGATGCAGGCCCATCACGGAGTGTATTTACTGTGGGTTCTAACTCACAGTGCGTGTTCAAGCTATTCGGCTACCTTTCGGGATGCCCAAAATCTAGAGATCTTTATTCTGTTTCAACCTCGTGGGTTTTCTCCGGGTCCTCCGGGGTGTATTTACTGTGGGTTCTAACTCACAGTGTGTGTTCAAGCTATTCGGCTACCTTTCGGGATGCCCAAAATCTAGAGATCTTTATTCTGTTTCAACCTCGTGGGTTTTCTCCGGGTCCTCCGGTTTCCTCCCACTGCTAAAGACCCCTACGCACAAGCGAATTATTGAAATAAAATTGAAGCATGTGTTAGTCCCGAAATGACCTAGTTTGTGTCGAGTGGACGTTAAACCCCATCTCTCTCTCTCTCTCTCTCTCTCTCTCTCTCTCTCTTTCTTCTGTCGAACTCCGGTCAATCCTTGGGGCCGATTTTAAACCAGTCCGAGTCTATCGTCGTTAATTTAAGATTTGATTTAGAGGGAGTGATCGAAATTGATGACGTTGGACAGACACTCACAACTAATGCTGTGTTCAGAGTCACGTGGAGAGACGAATTCCTGAGATGGAAGCCGGAAGATTTCGGTGGTATAGAATATGTAAATATACCGACAGAAAAACGATGGCTGCCCCGATTAATGATTGTGAACTGCATTTGTGAGCGGGATCTGTTTTCAGGCCAATCGCATCCGTATACTGTATTTGCAAATGGAGTCGTTGAGTGGACACCTGCCTCAGTTTTCAAAACATTTTGTGCACTTGATATGACCAACTTCCCGTTCGATAAACAGGTATGTGAAAT